TTTAGTGCTCGCTGTCCCGCGCCTCGTATTCAACAAAATGCTGTCACCAGGACTCACAGTCTTGTCTCTGATATGGTTTCCTTCATTGAGTGAAGGAAATTGCGGTCAATAACGCTGTAGAAACAAAAAGGAATCCTCATTAAAGGGCAAGCTGAATAGTTGTCAAGTTACCGGGTGGTAGGTTAGGTACAGACAGACACTTAAGTCAGCAAAAAGTGGGGGGGCCAGTTAACATTGCTGGCCCCCCCACCTCCGAAAGTGGGGGGGCCATGGCCCCCCCGGCCCCCCCCTGTTCCTACGCCTATGGTAGTGTAGGAGTAGGGTAGGGGTAGGGGTAGGGTAGGTTAGGGTAGGGGTAGGGTTGAGTTAAAATAGGGCCTAGGGTAGGGTAGGGTAGGGTAGGGTAGGGTAGGGTAGGGTAGGGTAGGGTAGGGTAGGGTAGGGTAGGGTAGGGTAGGGTAGGGTAGGGTAGTGTAGTGTAGTGTAGTGTAGTGTAGTGTAGTGTAGGAGTAGGGTAGGGGTAGGGGTAGGGTAGGGGTAGGGTAGGGGTAGGGTTGAGTTAAAAAAAGGGCGTAACATACAAAAGACTTGGACACTCCGCAACTATCGCTATTATATTAAAAACAGCTACCCAAATCTACCCAAATAATACAGCTAAAATACAAGCTACTCACCCAAACTAATGCATCCGTCACATATAATTAATCAAAACATACAGTTATCGCGCAAACCTGTACAGTGTACCTCTAGTCTATATTATAAATCCTAAAAAGTACCCCGCCGCCCGCGGCGGCGTCCGTTGACCTACGGCCGTGAAATTTTACAGCGATGTGGGCCACCTTTACACGTAGCTCGTATTAAATTTTGGACATGATCACTGAGAAAAAAATTGACTCCATATGGGTCAAAACTCTTGAAAATGCTCCCCTGAAAACTCCTTAAAACCATTGATAACTCCCTTTCCAGCAGAGGTATTGAGTGTGTTCTAGGGTAACTTCGAGCCTTCCTCATTTTGCGAAAGAGTTTTCAAGAGTTCTTAATGGATGGCGAAATGACTCCATGTGTGACACCCCATAACTCTGTGACGCAACTCTCCATTACTTCCGAAAAACCTTTCCCGAACGTTCCGACAGGAGTAAAAGGGGAGTTACGAAGGGGTCTCAGCATACGTCGCGAGGAGCTGCCGCGGTGGCCGCCATCTTTTGCGCGTAGTACACAGCACGTTGTGCGGGGCGGCGGGCGAGGTGTTAGTGAAGAGCGTGTTGACTTAGACGGACCTGACCTATATACAGTGACGGATAATTGGACCTTACTTTGGATTTAAAGGTAAGCTTAGCTGTATTTCTCATCATGCTGTTATAGTGCAAAGTGTTATAATGCTGTGATAAGAACATATGGTAACCCCATCATGTTCTTGATGGGCTGGAATGGTCTCTGTAAGGGTTATTGATTTGTATTGTTCCTGAGTGAGATAAATATCGGAAACAGCATGCTCTGAGTTTCTAGGTATTGGCAAATATCATACATTATTTCCCTCGAATAAATTGGAAAGTTAGGATTACACAAGCTTTACACGTCGTGGATCCTATTGTTATTGCCGAATTATTTTAATATCTATACCAATGACAAATATCAAATTTGAAGGGCTTGCAAAGGAGAGCCAGAAAATAAAACCATCTTGGCATAAAGGCCTTGATTTTCCTAGCCCCTACATACATATAAAAAAAAAACAGTTACCTACCACTGCCACTGCCCATGAATGATGAAAACCAACGGCAAACCAGCATGTTTAAATAAATGTTGTCTAAATTGTTGTATGTTTTTAGGAAGTGTTCATAATTGAATTCGTTCTTTAATGTTAACATGGTTACCTATGCAGCGTATAACGTCCTTAGCTTATTTTTAGCGACCTGCTCAACTTTTTTAGCGTTCAAGTAGGTACGTTTTATAGCATTGCTCTACTCTGTCTGCAACTAAGATGGAGGCTGTTAACTTGCCCTTTAGACTTTCACTGAAACTTAACTTTATCAAAATTGTAGTGCATAAAAAGTATGCTAACTTTGCAATCTCTTGCTTTCATTATTTTGACATCACTGTGCCGAAATGCAGTATCAGTGCCAACACGTCAGGTCGCGTATGTCTCATCTCGTCCATCTTGTCTCATCTGCCTACCTCTCAGTCTCCTCTCTCATTTCTTCCTTCCATCTTTCCTCGCTTCCTTCCTCACTCCCTCTTTCCCTCTCCTCTCTCTCCCTTTCTTTCTCCCTCTATCCCTCCCTTCCTTCCTGTTTTCCTTCCTTCTTTCCTTCCTTCATTCCTCCCCTCCTTCCCTCCCTTTCTCCTTCATTATTTCCCCTTCTTCTCTTTTTTTCTTTCTCCTCCATTTCCTCCCACGCAATGTTAAGTGTACCTATAATTTCATGGTTATTAACATTTTGCAGGGGATGAGCTGGAGAGCCTGCAGCGCATCCCGCAAGACACGTCGGAAGCCAACGGAGGCCAGCAAAATATCCATCCCACCATCGTGAAAGGCGAGCCGGACGAAGAATACGCAGTATTCGTCGAGGCCCAGGAGGTGGTAGGGTAGCGGCACCACCAGACCAAGCATTCCTGCTGTGGTAGGCCGCCTTTTGGATTCTTAACATCAAAACTCGCGACCGTGAAGCATATGGAGTGAGATCCCCGGAGAGCGTGCCGTGGCGGGATGTCGAAAGCGTTTGTTAATTTTTTAAGCCTCCCACCGCCCCGGACTATGAATACACATTTCTTGAAACATATTTTTTATCTGTGCTTCGGTACACGAGCTTTGGGTGGTTACACTATTCGTCCAATATTTATTTTCGGGGGGGGTGGGAGGGGCTGGAGTGGAGTGATGGGAAGTTTGGGTGAGCTTGATGGGGAGTAACAAGAGGTATACCATGAAGCTGTAAACGGAGTTTTGGGGAATCATTGAATGGAGTAATCGGGAGTAATTATGAGGCAGTAGGAGAGTCATTGAGAGTAATGGAAGGGAGTTTCAGGGAGTATGTTGTTTGTTTTGATAGGGTAAAGGAGAGTAATGAAGAATTTTCTAAAACGGTAGGGAGAGTTACAGAGCGTTTCTCGATGGAAGTTTTGGGGTGTAATGGAGAGTTTTAGAGGGGGTGTAATGAGGAGTACCACCAGGGAGTTTTGGGGTGTCGTTTTGGTGAACTCCCCCTGGGGGTGTCATGCGGAGTCAGGATTTTTCTCAGTGATGGGGCCGGGGGTGCGCCCGCGGCGCGTGCTCGCGTGCCCATAGGGTTAACATTAGAATCGGCAAAAACACGCTATTGCTCGGGAACGGTAAGGGCTACGGGGGTGAAATTTTCACTGCAAGTCGGACGCGTGCACTCATTTGTCGTATTAAATTTTCGAGGGGGTTGGTTCAGCGGTGTGCACGTGGTGGGGCCGCGACCGGCGCCGAGCAGAGGGCACGTGCTTTAGGCTCAGTTGTTCGCTTAAAAAACTGAGTGGAAACAGACCCGGCAGGTCATTGACTTTTGACAACGAAGGCCGACACAAGGCACCGCTCGCCAAGGGGATTCGCCAGTAAATACTATTAATTTGTTTTTGCAATATCTCAGCCGTTTCTGGGCCGATTTAGCTGAAACTTAGACTGTCGGTGGTAATGTAGTGTAGTGTAGGGTAGGGTAGGGTAGGGTAGGGTAGTGTAGTGTAGTGTAGTGTAGTGTAGTGTAGTGTAGTGTAGTGTAGTGTAGTGTAGTGTAGTGTAGTGTAGGAGTAGGGTAGTGTAGGAGAAGGGGTAGTGTAGGAGTAGGGGTAGTGTAGGAGTAGGGGTAGTGTAGGAGTAGGGGTAGTGTAGGAGTAGGGGTAGTGTAGGAGTAGGGGTAGTGTAGGAGTAGGGTAGAGTAGGAGTAGGGTAGAGTAGGGGTAGGGTAGAGTAGGAGTAGGGTAGAGTAGGAGTAGGGTAGAGTAGGAGTAGGGTAGAGTAGGGTAGGCGGGCGGGCGTGCGTTGCGGGCGTTTTTTGCGGCGGTATTTGCGTTTTTTTGCGGTGTTTGTGTTTGGCGGCGGGCGGGCGGGCGTTGCGGGTGTTTTTGCGGTGTCTGCGTTTGGCGGCGGACGGCCGTTTTTTTGCGGCGGTTTGCGGCGGGCGGCCGTTTTTTGCGGTTTGCGGCGGGCGGCCGTTTTTTGCGGTTTGCGGCGGGCGGCCGTTTTTTTGCGGCGTTTTGCGGTTGCCGGCGGCCGGCCGTTATTTGCGGTGTTGCGGTTTGCGGCGGGCGGCCGTTTTTTGCGGCGTTTCGCGGTTGGCGGCGGGCGATGCGGGCTTTTTTTGCGGCGGCGGTGTTTGCGTTTTTTGCGGTGTTTGCGTTTTGCGGCGGACGGGCGTTTTTTTGCGGCTTTTTTGCGTTTTTCTGCGGTTTTCGACGGGCGGGCGATTGTTTCTTTTTTGCGAAGTTTGCGTTGGCGTTTTGCGCGTTTTGCGGTGTTTGCGTTTTGCGGCGGGTGGGCGGTTTTTCACAATTCAAGTCCTAACCTTCGGATCCGCAGTGCTGTTCGACAAGCGCTGCCCGGGCACGCCTTACAGTTTAATTAAAAACAGCTACCCAAATTTACCCAAATAATACAGATAAAAATACAAGTCAATCACCCAAACTAATGCACCCGTAACATAACATAAATCAAAACATACAGCTATCGCGTAAACCTGTACCTCTAGTGTTAATTAAAATACGAGGTCACACAGGTCGCTCGTAACTATCAAATTAAGACGATTCCTTATTTCAAGACGCTAGGCGCCGCTGCAAAGAGTTGAAGCACTTCACCCACCAGTCAAGAAAAATAGGCATCTCAGATGTAGTCCCCAGCCGGTCCAACTTCCCCTACTGGTTCAGCCTACGTCTTGCTGAGCTCCCCAGACCCAGCCACCGCTCTCTCCCCATACAGACGCTGCACGGAGAGGGCGCCGGGTTCCCGACCATGTCATAACCCCGATACTACCCCCGGAAATGACCCTCACCACCATCTCACCGCCGAATGGGTCGTCGGCAGTGGTGGTGCGCCGCTTTAGCCGCGCCCGCGCCGCTGATTGACGCCGCACAGCGGCATATTCTGGCGCGGGGCGGCGTGTTTTACTGGCAGGGGCTACGACCGGTCCGCTCTCCATCGATTCACCGGCCTAGTCGGCAGCAACGGGACGAGAGACGCAACAGGGTGAGCGACGGGGTGGAAAGTGGACGGCGGAGGAAAATTGGGACCGGCGGTGGATGAGTTGTGGATGGTGGATCAGCGGTGGAACGATGGTAGAAGAACAATGAACGAACCGTGGGTGAAAGGTGGACACTGGACGTCTAATGGACAAGTTGTGCGTGGGTGAAGGATAAGTTTCTGATAAAGTTTTTGATACTATAATCTGAGAAACTGACGTATAAAGATATATATATATATATATATATATATATATATATATATATATATATATATATATATATATATATATATATATATATATATATATATATATATATATATATATATATACACGAGTATATATATATTATATATATATATATATATATATATATATATATATATATATATATATATATATATATATATAACACACACAACATCACATACCCGTACCCGTGCGGTCAGTTCAAGTTCAGTTCTCTGGTTGTTGGTCTATAGTCCACCTTTTAACAAAAATGGTTCATACAGCTCGTGCAGTAGGTACATACTATTGGTGCCAATCGGAATTTCTTTTCTTGGAATTCCAATTTTTGTCCAATTCCAATTTGGAATTTGGACGGAATTCTTAACATTTTTTGGAAATTAATCGGAACACAAGGCCTTTAAAATTTAAAATTTTAAAACGGAGGCCTTTAAAACGCTTTTAAACACTTAAAATTTACGCAAAAAATGCAAAAATCGTTAAAAATTGGAATAGCCCCCGCTTTGGACAAAATTGGAAATTTACTTGGCAATTTCTTGGAATTGGATCGGAATTGGAATTGAAATTTCATGAAATTGGCACCACTAGTACATACGCCGCTGACCGCGTGCAGTCCCCGATGTCCAAACATATGAAACATGAAGAGCGGAAGCGTGGTGGTCGACTATCGACCCGGAGAATGGAGTCGGCGACCGTCGCCATATCGAACGGACGGTCACAAGTCAATACTCACAGGTCGCCGATCAGGCGCATTGAAGACCGATAAAAGCAATGGCAGAAGTCTGTTCTAGGTTCATGGGGTACTCGTCTCTAACTCGCAATCCACGGAATACTTCGGCTTGTGCGGGATATACGTTTAGGGCTTGAATATAATTACATATTGCTTGTGGCGAGATTGCAAGATGTATCGCGTGACCATAAAACAAATATTTCTTACATTGATGCTGAAATGGCAATAGGTATTATATCGAACCTAATTAATTAGCTTACTCTTATTATGCCGAAAGCTCTTTAATTACAAATTAGCGTCTGACTAAGTAAGAAGGTACAGCCCTCAGCAGACTGCGTGGTAGGTATTCTTTATTCGACATATAACCGATAATAACTCAAAGGCTATGCTATCAGTCGGGCGGAACTCACTGCAAATAGATGCGTCATGCTCCACTCCTTCGATTAGGTCTATCACTAAACAAGGTGAACGCCTTGTGTGGCAACAAATTGCAAAAGTTTCTTTAAGGCGCAACTATAAACTTTTGGGTTTTTTAAAGACATGATGTGGAGATGAATTGTGAATTAAAATGAAATCGGACTTATAGTCAGGGGAAGGAGGCACATTTTTTAGCCCGAATAACGCAAAATTGAGTAGAGCTTAGCGAAGGGTCGTTTCTAGCACAAAATTGATCGCTGAATCCGAATCTGACCGGTGCGCATCTCTAACTCGTGTTGCACCACTTCCAGAGCACGTGCAATGGCACGGTTCACATTTTTTAGAGAATCGCACCCTTCTGTTAAATACCATTGTAGCATTATCAATTTTTGAGATCTTATTCTAAAATTTTGTTCCTTTACTTAAATTGCATTGCTTTAGTGATCAGCGTAATTTTTTCACTGCTCAGGCAGTCCATGACGTCACTATGACGTCATTAATTGACAAACACGTGAAAAATTGTTGCATGACATTAGAACGTTTAACTTTATTCACGATAAATGCATGACTATGCGGTAAAAGTACGTGCAGCATGACCAGGATACATTTCCGCGTCGATTGGTGGCAAAATCGTCTGACTGGGGGTCACGGTTACGTCAGCAGAGTGAAAAACGTAAAAACCGACCATTTGGTATTTTAAAGGTTTTATTACGGAGGGAGCTGAGCGAGCGAGGCTTTACGTAGGATAATGAAAATTTCTTAGTATGCACTGGACCCATTTACTTGCGTTGACTTTTATAGGGTAGCTTCATTCCTTCTACCAAGTAAGTGAACTATTACCGTTGCATGTGGGTGACCCCTTATGCACGTGCCACGTGCAAAACGAAGAGGTGTCACTTTTGCAACAATCGCAATATCTCGATAAGTACTGGGCCGATTGCGCTGAAACTTGGCATGAAGGTAGGCTCCTACCAGGCAATGCGTTACCATGTGTCACGGTTGGGGTGCTGCTGCACGTGCGCACGTGCAGGGGTCGTTTCCAGATTTCAAGAACGGCTGAACCGATTGCGCTCAAATTTTGTGCACGGCTAGGTTCCGGTTAGTAGGGTGCCGTGCAAAAGTCAGTTGGGACCCATTTTGCACGTGCGCACGTGCAGGGTGCCGCTTCCAGATCTCGCGAACGGCTAGGCCGATTGCCCTCAAATTTGGCACATCGCTAGAGGCCGGTTAACCCGCGCCCTGGTGTGGGTCTGAGCCACCTTCGCCCTGGTGGGGGGGGGGGGGCCAAAATGACCCCCCCCGTCTAACTCGAAAACGAAGAGGGCTAGGAAGACGCGGAAAAAAGCAAACGAAAGCCCATAACAAGTACGTTCGAAAGTATTTCGGTCATTTTTTCGCTAAGGTCAATATTGAGGTCGCTAGAGGTCATCATAGGTCAAATTTCAGTGTTTTCGGTGTTGCCGGACATATTCCGCTGTAGCTCGGAAACTAGAAGAGCTAGAGAGCCGCGGAAAAAAGCAATCGATAGCTCTTTTCAAGCTCTTTCGCCAAGGTTCGTCAGATTTGACCTCAGCTCAACGGTTTGGCCTACAGAGGTCATGCAAGGTCAACTTGGCAAATTTCGTTGAAAATGTTTTTAACTATAGCATGCATTCACGAGAAAATAGAGAAACGATTCATGCACCATCGTGCTTGGCTCGTCGAGACGCGTCGAATGATATATAGTTTGACCTCGAAAGGTCATTTTGAAAATTTGACCTCAGGTCAAGGTCATGACCTTACCGAAATAGGTCATGCTGCATATCATTCGATCCGCATTGACGAGACAAACACGATAAACGTCGAACGGAGTCTCTATCTCTATTCAATAACAAGTAAGTGCAGAAAAACCGCTGGTGACCTCTGGTGACCAGGGAGATGACCTAGCGTGACCTCAGCGAGGTCACAAGCAAATGGTTTCACATGGGCTGTGATTTGCTGACCCAAGACACTTCAATAACGAAATATAGGAACAATCACGCCCGATTTAGCTGAAAAACAACTACTTTTCGATTCTCCCATTGACTTATAATGGGGAGCAGCGATGACCTGACCTGACCTTAGGTCACATTTATAAAAAATCCGAGATAGCCATTTTGTAGAGCTGGGTGACATCTTCAAGTACTGTAAATTTTACATCGATCGGATAAAAGCTGTGCCTTTGAGAGAGCTTTGAACTTTTTTAGAGGTGGTGTCAGTTTTGGTGACCTTGTGACCTGACCTGACCTGACCCGAACCCCCAAAAAAAGGACATGATGTAAAAATGTTGAATAAACAGCTATACAAAGTTTCAGGGCGCTAACTCAAGTGGTTTCTGAGTTATCGCTGAAAAACCACAGGGGGGGGGCCAAAATGGCCCCCCCCCCACCAGGGCGAAGGTTAATAGAGTGCCATGCACAAGTCAGTTAGAATTACCACCTAGAAGACCCGAGGAATAAAGCAAGCCTTGGCTTGTTTGATGGTACGCTGAGGTAGCTTCTCCAGTCTTCGGCCGGGAGGACGGTAGTTTTTGTTATAGCCGTGGCATGAGTAGCATGCTCGTTATGCTCACCCTGACCGAGGTGACTTTTTTGCCGCCTGTCGCGAGTTGTTGACTTGATCGACTGTGAGTTGTACCGATCAAATACGATGTCAACGCGCTTCGAACCGTGGAGCACGCCGATATCATGGACAGACTTGGAAAACGCGCGTGCTATATCTCCAAACGTTGTGGCACCAGCTGGCTTTCCAAGGGCTTGAACGAGACCCATGGCATCTAGCACCACTGCAGCCTGCTCGTCGCCAGCTATGGAGCGAGGGCACTCCACGCCTGTGGTCAAACAGGTTACCAGCTGACTCTTCTGACCACTTCGCAGCTTTCCATCTGGCAGTGCAATGGATGTGGGAACAGCTGTCAGCTCGTGCTGCATGATGACGTTGATGTTCACAGGACGACCAGACTCGTAGAGCCCCATGATCCTCTGAAGAAGGCGGCCATCCACTTCAACTGAATCCTGTTTCTGGGGTTTTGCGCTCGTTTTGAGCATAGACGCGAACGTCAGACATCTCTGCTTCTTAAGAGGAGAGTAGAAGGTGCAGACAGAGGCCTCCACAGGATCCAGCCTTGTGCGAACGAAGTCCTGTAGCAGCTGTTCACCCTGTGTCCTAGCAGACAGCAGAGCGTGTTGGACCTCTGGCAGGCATGCCTCCTTGGTTGTCATGTTCATGAGGATTTCGTCTTGCGCTGGCACTACTTCATACTTTTGCAGAGTTTTCTTCAGTGCTTCCTCGGCTGCCATATCCTTCACTTTACGCGACGTGCCTTGTTCGTTGTGATGTTTATATTCGGCTGCTGCTGACATTCCCAGGAGTTCCAAGGTGTTTGCCGAGATCATAGATCTGAGGTTGTAGGACAGCGCCCACCGATCCAGCGCTGACGGTGTTTTTGTGATTCCAACAATGCCACCACTTTCCTTTCCTACACAGTTCAGCCACTCGAGGGCGTGGTCGGCGTCAACTTCGGAGAAGCTCCTGTTGGACCACTTCACGACGAAGTTTCCCGCCTGAAACTCTGCTTCGACCTCCGACGGCAGCTGCTGCATCTCTGCGAGATACACTGATCCCCATCTGAAACAGAGGGCGGCGGGTGTAAATGACATGTAATCCTATAAATGAAATGCTATATCTGTTATTCATTGATTCGTCAGACGTCAAAGATGCACTATACAGTAACGATGCTAATTTCACATAATGTTGACATCAAAACCAGCCCAAATGTCAGACAGAACTTTGGAATATACAGCAAAAAGTATTAACGTTGGAAATGGAGAGAAAGCCAATGATTCAGCAGAACAAGAGCATTTGATGCCTAATTGAGTACGCATTAAACCAGCAAAGCAAAAAAAATATTAGGCTCGTAGTACCAACTCTCAAATACCCACCTCGCATAGTTCTGGTGGTCATGTATGAAGAACCAAGGTAGCATTTCTCTGAAGCTCTCGAGGTGAAGAATCCAGTCACCTGTGCGCTGTGCACGCACAAACCTGAGCAGAAGCTCTACCATCTTCAATTAGTCCATCCAGAACCGCACGTTCGGACCCGCCGCGTCGTGGAACTGCTGGCGGAGTGCACGGAAAGTGTGCGTGTTCAGCAGGTTGATGAGCTCACCTGATGCACTGTCTGCTGCTGCCAGCTCCAGTTTTCTGTGGAAGTCTCCGTTCTTTTCGTGAATGAACTTAAAGACCATGGGCAGTAGAATGTCCCACAGGGCCTGCCATGTTAGTTTGTGCCCTCGCATCGCTTTGTTGTAGGATCGCCCGCAACTGAGCACCTTCTCTGCCGTTTTCGCACCAAACAAACCACTGTCAACCCAGACTTTGAGGAGCCCGGAGCCTTTGACATGCCGCCCGATCACACCAAGGAAGTTCAATGCTGTGTGTAGTCCGCCCAGTCTGACTATCAGCCACTCTTGTAGGTCGGTGTGGGCCCACTTCAGAGGGACCAACCTCTGGTAAAGCGCCTCATCTACTGTGATGATAACATGTTGTTGTCCCAGCGCCGATGCCACAGCACGACACCTTTTTACTGCGGTGAAGAGAGTGTCCATATCATGGGCAGGTGCGTTTAAAATGGGCATGAGTCCCGTGACTGATGGTTCGTGCTCCACACCAGTGTTACATGCATCTGTGTTGTGAGCTGTCCATCCACTCTTCTTGGCGCTTTTCTGTCGCTCACAGAGAAACGCCATGTCACTGGCCTCAGCCAACTGTGAACTGGATGGAGTGGATCCATTTCTGTCCAGCTTCGGAACGGCCGCCAAGACAGGCTGCACCTTGGAGCTGTCCATGCCGGAAGGAAGAAGGCTATGGAGGGAATAGGGCGCCTCCAAAACCACATTCTTTGATGGTCGGATGTCACGCAGGTACTCCGGTGGGGACGAGTTTCGCTGCCACGCAGCCATCTGCGAACGGACGAAACATTGTTAGGAACGCAATAGCATATTGATATGACAACAAAATAAAACCTGAGTGGTAGAAACAGTTAGGTGCAGACGATGCGTTGTGTTCCTATGCCCTTTCATGCCTACCAATTAATAGATGCTTACATGTTTTAATCAACCATTTTAAGGAGGGGTAGTTCATACTTTACATTATCTCACATTAACATAGCAGCACCCAATCGGAAGGTGTCAGGAAAACTAGTGACCAGATAGACATAGCCAATGACCAAACTTCTTGTTGTAAATTATTTAAAAAAAAAAAAGAATTACAACGCAAAATAAATTAAAACCTCTCGTGTTGCAGTTGAACGCTACAATAGCATCCAATGACACACGGCAAGCCTTGGTAATGTGCTGTTTAATGATGACCTCAGATGGCCTTGGACGACCTTTACACATGGTTGATCACAAAAGACGTAATAGGCACTAATTTGGGATGTCGCACGTATCAGGGTTAACTAAAAGTTGGACGGTAGACAACGTCTCACCTGAGTCGCATGGAACGTTTTCTTTCCATCCAGTGACTCATCCAGAATGTCAATGTTGTCCACAGCGAAATGGACAAACTTGCCAGGGACCAGATTCGGAGGCACTATCGCACCAGTTGCTTCATCTGCGCTGTTTAGGACAGCTTCTGCCAGGCCTGTTGTTACAGTGAGGAGCTGTTTATAACTAAGGCAATGCCCCGCGTTGTGTACCATCTGTACGAGCCGTTTTGATCGCGTCTCCTGGTGTATGGTGTTGGCCAGTCCCACGTGCTTCGGAGTCCATTTCCTGCCCTTTGAGGCGCAGAACACCACGTCTTGTGCAATCGAAAGGGCTTGCCGTCCCGTGTCATCACCATCACCGGAGCCCGAGTCTAGCAGCTGGCGGATGAAGCTAAGAAGAATCGATGGGACGCAGGCTACGGCGCTCTCCTCATCACCATGGAGCCCTTCATAATTGGGTGCTTTTCGAATTTCTTCTCGAATCTTACGGGCGAGGTGGGAGACTTGTTCATTCAAGTCCTCGTGCTCATCATCGTCTTGAGATTTTGTCTGGGACAGGTCAATGGGCGTCAATAGCGTCCCCAACCGCCTGACAGCGTGCACATCGAAGGCGTCGCCCAGCTTCAGCTTCAAGGCAGTCACGAACGTTGTCTTCCTTGACGAGTATGCATGTTGGACTTCGATGCCCAGATCTTCGCATATCTGCTGGTAGCGACGAAAGATGGAATCTATGTCCAAATTGGTGGGGTCGGTGTCCGTCAGAAGCTCGTCTGCTAGGAGCTGCAGGACGTCGTCACTGGACGGCGTTGAAGTCGACAGCCCGGATCTTAATCCAGCCTCCCAGGACTGCCTTAAGAAGGCAGCATAGCACGCATTGTGATACCTTATGCCCGTTGCTATTATGTCGAGATACGGTGGAACGCGTCGTGACATGAACGGGTGTACTTCACATCCATATCGTATTTTTTGTGCGGTGTGTTGTGAGGTGACGATATGCAACTCCATTGTCTTTCGTTCTTGACAGAAAATGCATTCCGCCCAATCCACAGATTCTCGTCGAAGCCTTTGGGTTTCATCAGGGTGTTGAGCCGTTTCTGTGCCATTGTGACGTACAAACACCCTGTAGCAGTTTTTATGGTACTTTAATTCACAGCTTTCGTTCAAAATGGAGTCTAACCTGTCAGAGAGTCGCCTCTTGTTTTTGTCTTTTTTAAGAGAAGGTAACAGCTTAGTGATATTCTCCTTTCCAACGCTTGATGCCAAGCAGAGCTTTTGATTTTCTGTCCCGTCTTCCTCGCAAAATACACACTCGTCGACTATGTCAATTGCACGCTTTCCTACTGCCATTCTTATTCATGACTAAAATAACCTGTTGAAAGTATTAAAACTACATGTAAACTATAAAAAATGTGTCACCAAAAGATCATGTCATACATACTTGATACAGACGATATAACATTTAAATGCCGCCGCAGCGCTATTTAACGGTGAAAACCGTATAAAATGTTTTATTTCACGTGCTTAAGCAGCATACTCTACTACTATCACCTTTCGACCAAAATCTGTCAGGCGGTGACTCACACTTCACGTTCTCCACATCTCTCCCATTCCACCTCCGTGAAGATGATTTGGCACGGATCAACGCGGAAATGTTTCCTGATCATGCTGCACGTACTTTTACCGCATAGTCATGCATTTATCGTGAATAAAGTTAAACGTTCTAATGTCATGCAACAATTTTTCACGTGTTTGTCAATTAATGACGTCATAGTGACGTCATGGACTGCCTGAGCAGTGAAAAAATTACGCTGATCACTAAAGCAATGCATTTTAAGTAAAGGAACAAAGTTTTAGAATAAGATCTCAAAAATTGATAATGCTACAACGGTATTTAACAGAAGGGTGCGATTCTCTAAAAAATGTGAACCGTGCCATTGCACGTGCTCTGGAAGTGGTGCAACACGAGTTAGAGATGCGCACCGGTCAGATTCGGATTCAGCGATCAATTTTGTGCTAGAAACGACCCTTCGCTAAGCTCTACTCAATTTTGCGTTATTCGGGCTAAAAATGTGCCTCCTTCCCCTGACTATTACTCCACAAGAGTTCGTTGTGGACTTACTCCACAAGAGACCCAACGAACTCTTGTGGAGTAAGTCCGATTTCATTTTAATTCACTTTTGGGTTTTGTTGCCGAACTAGATGGAAAATGAATAGGTGATGATGCCAATCTAAGGTGCGGAGTCTCGCGCGTCTTGCTGTTATGATTTCCGAATGACCGATAGCTATAGTCTTCGCGTTATTCTCGTTTTTGTCGAAAAAAGAATACCTACCACGCAGTTTGCAGAGGTCTGTACACATATGATTTGCAAATTACACTTGCTGCGTAAGCTTTAGTACACAGTTACCAGATGGACTATCATGCCGTCTGGTGACTGTGCTCAAGCTTCAGCAAGCACGATGCAACGATAATTCTCGTTGCACAAGAGCAGTCACCACATGCCGTCAGTCCAGTATAACTTGCATCTCATTTGATTGATCCTTTCCTTCCGAGTCTGACTATCATCTGTGTAACCGTTTTCTCGAGTGGTTCGTGCTCGTGGCGAACGTATGAGCAGTAAGCGGTTTGCCAAGCGTGGGTGGCATGCTAAGTCGCAGCTCTTCAACCATCAATGACCCTCACCACCATCATCCAACGGCCAGCACAGAAATGAGGAACCGCTAATCACCATTGCTTCGTATTTTGGTTTGGTTTCGGATGATGAAGCCTATCGGTTCCACGAATATCGAACTCGCGCCGCAAAGAACCCAATGAAGTTCCACATTCGTCGCAGCTCGGCCACAGAGCCAGAGCCCCGGCCTAAGCCATGGCCGCCGTCATGAGTGCGGCGCTGTGGTCGCTGGTTAGTGTGGACTGTGCAGCGCGCCTGTCCATTGCAGCAGAACCCCCCTCCCCCTTCCCTGGCCCCGGCACATAGGCTGGTTCGAGACTGAGAAATGAGTTTCATTAGTTCATCAGCGATTATTGCGACTAAATACTCCACCAGAGACTATTTCTGACCCATTCGGAATAGCTATTGGAACACGCGACAGTTCTGTAAAGCCATCGACCTTGTTCTAGTTTAATGCCACCCTGCGAGCCGACTGAAGCGGACTGCTTCACAGAACAAGACCCGATCAGAATACCGCTCACATAATGTGGTGCCATGCACGCTCATTGGCTCCGTGGCTGTAATCGAGTGGCGGTTTTCGTTAATGACACCCCATTCATCGACGGCGCCGCGGCCCGGTGCCATTGCGGCTGATGAGACGCCGTCCCAGAACGTGATTCGGAGGGCGGACCGTCGCCGAACGCCGTACCCGGAACTGAACCGACGACTCCGTGCGGAACTGCAGGTGAACTCGCCGGCAGCTGTGAGTGGGAGCGTTCCCGTCGCAGCTCACAAAGTTTCAGGACACAAAAACTGTTTATAATCTTTCGCCATGCACATTTCGATTCCAATGCTGCTTACGGAACTTGATTACGCAACGACACTGCCTAGCTCATGGAACTTCACTGACAACCGGTTTTGGTAGCGTCACTTTTCAATGTTAAATGAATAATTTTTGGACATAAATTTATCATGGCAGCGAATAAATTGCTGACCATAAATGTAGCTGCCGACCGTTCGTCGTCCATTTGTCGTTTGCAACAGGTCGGACAGTCGTCACAACAGGTGGTGGATGGTGGTCGGTGGTCCCTGGAGCCCCCTCCCTCCCCTCCCCAGCAGCACCGCTTGCCCCGGTCAGTCGAGTGAGGTGCACGCGAGTCCATCGGGTATGTCAGCGGCAGCGCTCAAACGGGGACGTCGGTACCGGCTACCGTGGACAGGTCGCGGCGGCGGCGAGGCGACGGGGCGGGCTGTTGCCGGCCACGGCAGCAAGCCACCGGGCGGGAGAGTCTGGGGAGGGAGCAGGGTAGCCAGGCCGTTACGTGGTCTGAGACCAGCCACTGATGAAGATGAGCCGGGCTGGGTATCGGCGGTCGGCTCAGCTGGTCGACCGAACTGAGCGGGTCGGTGGCCTCGTCAGGCTGGGTCGGACGCTGTGGGCTTACCGGACGGGGGTCGTGACAGCGCTTCCGGGAGACACACGTCATGCTATGATCTACCTGGCCAGTCTCACAGCCATACTACTGAAGCACGCCCGAGAAAGGGTCCGCCCAATGCCCATGCTATCTTCTTAGCCAACTGGAAAGGCGATAGACATGGAATTACCGCGTTAGTAGTTTTGGCTCGGACAAATTGTATAGATGTTGGTGCATGCTATTTATTTGTGTATGCATGGCATGGTAAGCATGCTATTTTATTATTAGAACTGCAGAATAAAGCTACATCATCAACTCAACACAATTATTAATTTTATTGTATTTATTTTCTTTCTTTCTTGAGGTATTTTGCTAAAACGATGCCTTCCTCCAACGCCTAGTATGGTAGAGCCGAGCGGACCTGAAACGTATACTGTGCCGCCTTACACACAGGCGCTGCGGCACAGTCTACCCGTTAGGCGGCACGGGCGGACATCGATAGCAGCGCCTCTATCGGTCACTAGGGAAAGCTGGGCTGTAGGCGACGATATACCGGCTGAGTTGTCACACGTTGAATAGGTTAATAGCCATCCGTCTTGTGAAAAAGTTGAACTTTTGCCTTTAATATTTCTACTGGCAATTTTAGAAGTGTCTTCCCATGGATTACAAAACCGTTTAGATTATTGTATTCACTTCAAGCCTTCCCTATTGTTCTTGATGATGCGGGAACTATTTCTAATTAGTGTTTCTAGCTTAGTAAAAGAACATACTGTGCAAACGATGAAAAAAGCATAAATGGAAGATTTTAAATGCAATTTTCTCTAACAATTAATGGTAAATTCTCTACATATCAAGGAAAAGGTGCATGCTATTTGATAATTTAAAGTTCTTGGGGCCAGTTGTTTTCGTCTTTTCGTACGTCGCCCCAATGGCCGCGAATACACTTGTGATAACGCCTATCGCAGGACCACCAGCTCGGCGCATTGGCTCTGCGCCAAACGCGAACCCCAAACTCCACAGCCACGGCCGCAGTCCGCAGTGTCGTCTCCTGCAATGCGGTGAAATATTTAGACACTTTCATGTTTTGGCCAACTCAAAGATCGTGTAATATGTTTTGACCGGCTTCCAGAAATTTGTGGTTTTGCAACACATCAAGTTATTTATCTGCTACGATCGTAAGTTTCAGGAATCAGGACGTGCAATGGTTTCAAAACATGTTTGTCGCACACTTAGAGAGTTAGTCTGTTAAAATAATCGTTTGGCTTTCGCAGGTCAACAGTTTTAACGAATGATGCTCTCTCCCTCGCAACAGACCAAGATTTATGCTGGATGTTGCTAGGATTAATTGGAGTCCGCAGGTCTCCCAGCGCCGGGCTTTGTTGGGCGGCTTTGTCCGCGATTACTGCAAGTTCTCGACTCTATTCGCATTCAGCCAGCCGCTACGGCCAACATAGGACTTTCTCCGTATCCGATTCACGGTCTATCCGGTTTTTTCCTCCTCCAGTCTAGCCAGGAACAGGACTTCCTTGGCGTTCAATTTGTCCGACTACCCGGCTAGTGGCTGGTCCCTCGCCGCGCCGGGGCCGCCGGCACCGCCGGGGCTCAGCCGCCCGGGCTCCAGGTGAGGTGCGTTCCCGCCGGCTCGACGCGTGACGTCATCCCGTCGAAGGTGTCTGTGCCGATGACGTCAGCGGGAGGTGTGGCCTGCCGTCGGCGGCGGCGACGGTCGCGGCGGCGGCAGTTTCCAGTCGTGCGGCGCTCCCGGAGCGGTGCGGCTCGATGGGCAGCAGACATGAGGGCTGTGCGGGCGGCGGAGTGGGAGCCGCCGAGCCGGGCCCGGCGCTGCTGAAGGCCACCACGCCCAGCGGCCAGTCGCGTCGCTCGCCCTCGCCCGACCAGCTGCTCTACCTGGACGGCGAGATGAACGAGGACGACGAGCTGGTGGTGACGCAGATCGACCATGGCACCGGGCCGAATGGGCTCAGCAACTACCTGTACCCCATCTACCTGCCTATGGACCAAGAGTTCAAGACAAAGTATGTGTTCTCGACGAAACGTAAGCCCAAGAGCCTGCAGGAGAACGTGTACCTGTTTTTGGAGCACCCCGGCGGATGGATGTGCTTCATTTATCACTTCAGTGTGTGAGTAACCGGGTTGGGAGCGGGCGGCCGGCGCTGCCTGGGTTCGGGTCACCCAGAGCGTCATGCCTTGTGGCCTAGTAGTGTTGAGTGTATCCTTGTTTCAACTCACGGCTGAGTACTTCTGACCAACCATAGCGGAACTTCTTTGACGTTCGATGCCTGTCGCTGGCGGTAGTCAATATGCCGCCTAACATCGATACGGTAGCACTGAATAATTTAATGAAAGATACCGTCGTCAGCGTAAGCACATACTCGTATGCCTTGAACCAGCTTAAAAAA